CTATCTCTTCCACAGATTCTTTTGCGCACTCTTCGTCGCAAACCCCGAATAGCGTTTTCATCGCGGACCCACAAAATTAATGAGCCCACGCCTTTTCCTACTATGATATGTGGTCGTTTCGCCCGAATGTTCTGCGTATCTACCTATTGATTCATACATTTTTTCACGTTGTAATGAAATTTCTTGAAACATTATTTTAAACATATCGTCTAATCCCGATCACATTTCATATGCTGTCGCATTATTTTTACATATATTTGTCATTATATTTATTTCCGTTTTTAATTTATCGTGTCTACTGTCGTAATTTAACAACGGTAAATACGTGATTAACTGCCAAGTAGCTCCTGTTAACCTTACCGTCCCGTAATTTTCGTAATACATCATCGTTTGGTTTCTAAATTCTTCCACTTTACACGGAAGTTGACTTTGACTTGTCGTTATTAAAAAAAACCTAAAATAATATATACACATATATTAGTTATGAATGTCACTTATACTTCCTATATTCGTCTCTCGAATTTGGTCACTATGAATTTGGAACGTACTAATTGCTTAATAGTCATATCGACAGTGATACCCGGTGGTCGCATGTTCCTATAGAATATTGTCGCGACACCCACCGTGTTTCATCGTCAACCCCCCAAAAATCAACTAGTACATTCCATAACTCATTTTTTTTTTTTTTATATATATTTACTCACTATCACTAAATCCTTCTAACTCGTCCATATTACTAAATAAACTATTCGAAACTATATCGAGTTCCTCTACAGTATCATAATAACTATTTAATATATCTAATTCTTCCTTAACACTCAAAATACTATTAACCCAGTCACCATTATTGTTACTTCCACCTAGGTTATTATTACTAGTATTATTATTTTCATTGTTACTTATTCCAGTGTTGCTTAGAGCTGCTACCCTAACCCTATTCGTCTGTATTGCCCTAAAATTTGACCATGCTTCTATATTTATTTCATTATTCAAATTATAAAATTCGTCTATAACCCTATCTGCTAATGATATATCGTATTCTAGTCGATCCGCATCTTCTTCCCCCGTAATGGCTGGTGGTTCTGTTCTATTAAATACAATACTTGCCACTCCTATTTTCTTGGATTGGACTCGCGCCAGCAGAGGTCTGTCTAAGTCTAAATGGTACCGAAACGGTATATTCGAAACTCCCCGTGCATCTTTATTACTGAATTCACCCAGCAACCAATGACATAGCATTACCATTTCCTCCTCCGGAAATTTATCAGTACATGCACCTTTCAGCCCACCATACTGATATTCTATTATTGTTCTGAATGAATGTTTTTTTTGATATATAAAGGGTTCCATCCCTATATAACGACATACTTCCTTTTCCATTATGTACTCCCCCGCTTTCTTCAGTACCACTACCAACAGACGACCCCCTGCTCGCACGGTTAATGCTAGCTCGAACAGTGGCTCACTATTCCCACTGAATCGTACCAACATTTTTGTACCATCCGTGTCCGTTGCCAAGACTTCGTATAAAACAATATATGTTCGCCCCTACAATATATTATTGTATTAATAATTCTATTTGCTATGCATACGTTTTTAATCAACATTATATTCTTTATATAAGTACTATTATTAACATTTACACTAAATACTTCCACCAAATATGTTTTATTTAACTACTTCTAAAATTAATATTAATTAATATTAATAACAAAAAAAAAAAAAAATATAATATCCCTTATATCTTCCATAATTGTTACTATAATCTCGTAGTACTCGTAGTATCTACCCTCGGATCACAATCCAATTGTGTTTCCGTTATACCATAATTATCATCTTTGTTCTTACATTTACATTTATAACCTTTAAATTCCTAATACGGTTATTGCTACCATTAGTACCAACATCATTAACCCTATTATTATACTATAGTCTATATTCTATTCTAATTGTTGTTTCTATTTCCGAATTTCTGTTATTGGTTATGGTCGAATTACCACTTCTAATTATTGTAATTTCCGGTTGTTTCCCTTTACGATATTGTTTAAAAAGCTGATGAACCTTTGTGGTACTAGGCGTCGTGCTTGGTCTATTTTTAACCATTCGCCTTAATATTTCATCAACATTAATTTTTTGTGTTGTAGGTTGATGTAATTGACCCTTCGTAAAAATATTTATTTTTTTCTCTAACCCGTCCCTAGGTATTGTACCACTATTTTCCTTTCCGATTATCCTTTTGTTTATTATCCTTTGATTTCAACATATAGTACCTTATCTTTTAGCAAATTGGACCAAGGTGGTACTTTAGAGAGGTCATTTTTCGATTTTCTCAATAGTTATTTAATGCCACGGGAAAAAGTACTGAAAAATTACGAAAAACCGCTTAAAATGGGATTTTAATTTATAACAATTTGTTTATCACCGTAGCAACGAATAAAAAAAATAATAATTAAATAAATAAAATAATTAATGACAATATAAAATATACAGACTGACAAACCGTCTCCGTTCAGAATCGTTTTTCTTATACAATGATATTATATCATTGAATTCAAGTTTAATACAATCCATTAAACGATGACCAACTTGTAACCTTCTGTACAGCTGAGCGACATCCACTTACCTGCCTTTTTTTATAATTCTATTTCCGTTTTTTTTTTTCATTTATTTATATATTTACATACGTTATAATTTAATCTATTCGCTATGCTTTTAATCATTTTTAACGTCATCCTTATCGTCGTTTTCGTAATATTTTTTCACGTCATTTTTATGTACCGTTACTTTTTTACGATTCCGCGATATAACTGCATTTTCCGAATCTAACGATTCTAATATTTCGTATGGTCCCTTCCAAAGTGGACTTAACTTGTTCCTTTGGGTGTGATCTTTAAGTAAAATCATATCCCTAACTTCTAACTCTTCGGTTTTGACTTTTTTATCGTAATATCGTTTATTTATTTCTTTATTTTTTATTAATCGTTCCCGTGCTATTTGACTTGATTTTTGTAACTTTTCTTTTAAATCGTACACGTAATCATCGTAATTATACCTAGGTTCTGGACTTGATTTTAATTTAACTGGAATATGAATGTCCCTACCATACACTAACGCATAGGGTTGGTATTTCGTGGACGTGTGTTCCGTAGAATTGTATACAAACATTGCGTATGGTAAAAGTTCATCCCAATCATCCAAACTTTTACCTGCGTAGTGCCTTAAATATTCTGCTAATGTCTTATGTGAACGCTCAAGAGCACCGTTGGTCATTGGATGATAACCCGAAGTCTTAATTGTATTAATTTTTAACAACTTGCATACGTCCGTAAAACATTTCGACAGGAACTCGGTTCCTTGGTCACTTAATATTTCGTCCGGAATCCCGTGGATACAGACAAAATTTGTTACGAACGCCTTTGCTACCACATTTGCCGTGTGACAAACCAAAGCTACCCCTAGACTAAACGTCGTTAAGTCACATTGCATTGTAAGTATATAGTTATTTCCTAGACTGTTGTAACTAACGGTCCTACAATGTCCAAAAATATTTTTTCAAATGGTCTTGTACTTGTTGTTATAACCATAGGATACTGAATATGTTTATTAGTATTCTTATTAATTTGACAAGCTGTACAATTCTGTATATATTCCCTTACCTCCTGTTTCATATTTGGCCAGTTAAATTGTTTTTTTATCTTCTTGACTGTTCTATTCAAGCCTCCATGCCCGCCTAATCTGGACGTGTGCATTTGCTTAAACATTACTAGTTTTTCTTCTTTACTAAATTCTAATTTGGTACAGATTATGATTTCTATATCCGTATTACGAAAAATGTATCTTATCATTGACCTAACCCTTGCCCAATCTAGTCCGTCTTGTTGTCCTGATTGGTTCATTGCTAACTTTATTAATTTATGTTTTCCACAAAAATGCTTAAGATTTAGTAATGCTATATGTACATTTTCGTACGTTGCTAATTGTTTCTGTTTTGTTTTCGTAATTAGAAATATTATTTATCTATTACCGCTTTTAAATTTTACGACGTGACCTAAATCTTTATTAGATTTTAATATTTTATCTCTACCAAATCGTTTCTTTAATTCATAATTAATACCTGATCTAAAATTATAATATTTTTCGATCTCAGATACGATATTGTATTCCGAAGGGCTGTCTATTAAATCCCCATGTACTTCCTTAACGTCCTTATTAGAAATTACTGTCGTTTCGAATTTTTTCATAAAACTTTCATAAGTTTCTTCCTTAATTTCATCGATTTTATACATACGAGATAGAGCATCGACATTTGTGTTTAATTTACCCATTTTGTAAACTATTTCATAATTATGTTGTTCTAATTCTATACGCCATCTTGCTAATCTGGATAAAGGATCTTTTAAATTAAATAACCATGACAACGGTCTATGGTCTGTAAGTATTGTAAATTTCCTACCATACAAATACGGTCGAAATGTTTTTACGCCAAATATAATCGCTAAACATTCTAGTTCTGTTGCTGAATAATTACATTCTGCTCTGTTCAAAGTTCTAGAACTGTAAGCTATCGGTAAATCAGATCCTACTTTACCCTGAGATAATATTGCACCTAGCGCTTTTCCGCTAGCGTCGGTTGTAAGTATAAATTGTTTCGTGAAATCTGGATATTGCAAAATTGGTTCTGAACAAAGTATTTCCTTTAATTTGTCAAAAGCTGCTTGACAAGTTTCATCCCAATTGAATTTTATGTCCTTTCTTAATAATTTTACTCAGGGCCGGCGCAAGCAATTTTTTATATGTAGGCAAAGATCAAAATTGCCGCCTCTTATTTTATTATAACTTACATAGATAAATGTCATATTATGTAGGAGCAAAAAAATTAAAAACTTTTTACACTTGTCAATTATTATATAATAAAAAAGAAATTACTAAATTAATAGTACATGGATTGTTTGTAAGGTATTACAATAGTTATTATGAAATACAATATTTAGTTATAATTTTTAAAAATGTATTTTTCTTGCTTTTGCTGACGCAAAATCTTTAACTAAATCGTCAATGTCAAGATCATTCGCAATTTGATTTTCAATTGAAATTGTTGCCAATCCAACTAAACGATCCTGTGAAATTTGTGATCTTAAGTAGTTCTTTACAATTTTTAATTTTGAAAAGCTTCTTTCAGCTGAAGCTGCAGTTACTGGTAATGTTAATAAAATTCTTAGAGCTACGTATACATTAGGAAATAATTCTATTAATTTGTTTTCACATATAAATTGTAAAATTGCTTTTGGATCATTTTCATTTTGCAAATGTTTTTGTAATGTATTTATTTCTTCACAAAGTTCGACAGAATTTATATCAGAATTTAAACCGTCATTTGAAGAAAGTGCTAGCTGAAGATCTTTACAGCACTTCATTAAATGTTCATAATTATTTACATTAGAAATATTATAAAGAAATGAAAATAATTTACTATGGTCTTCAAGTTGAATAAATCGGTCATTTATTGATTGGAGCATATTGTCTAATATTTGATGAAAAAAATTTATTTTGAAATTCTGTTTAGGATCTGTTATAGGAGTATCACGAGATTCGTAATCAAAATGAGTTTTTCTACGTCGAGTTCGAAATTGATTTAACGAAAAACTATCTTGTACACCAAGTTCATTTGCTAAGTAACTTGCTTGTGTAAGTATTTTTTCAAAATTTTCATCACTACGATATTTTTGTAATAATTACAAGATTTTTTATTTTCAATATTTTCTTCACTTATAATACTTATAGCAATCTCTTTCTTGTTTTCATTTTCAGAGTCAAAATCAGCTTTTCTGCTGCTTATATCATGTATATCTTTAATATTTAAATTGGCACTATTCTTTTCAGTTATATTAATCTCTTCTTTACTTTCATTGTCATGTTCTTTTTTTTTATTGTCAACTTCGCCCATACTTAGATCTTCAATATTTTTATTTCCACTATTTTCTTCACTGTCATCAGTATCATTATCATTAATAACATTTGCTTGACTATTTTGTTGACAAAATTTCAGTAAACTACCTTTTTGTTTAACTAAATCTTTCTCCCGTGCTAGTCTTTTCTTTAAATATTGCGAACCTGATAATCGTTTACGCTTTTTTATGTCATCAGCCATAATATCTGAATAAATAAGATAATAATTAATTAATATTATTTTATTTTTTAATTATTTAACATAAACTCCATACAACAACGGACAAGAAAAACTAATTATATAACAGTATTACATAGTTAATTAACCACTAGTTAACAAAAATTCTATTATTTGGTCTTTTTGCATTTTTAAAATAATTACAAATACAATAAATATCAGATAGAAGATGTTATGCCTGTAGTAAACGTGTTCTAATTTATTAAATAAATAAAAATACATTCAATTATGAAGAAGACTAAGAACGACGCGCGATACGGCAATATTATTTACTGTCGTGAACTCAGTTTCAATAGCGTCTATAATACGCAGCTTATTCTCCCTGGCCTCCTCCGGCCATCCGTCAAACCATAACCTAACCATTTTACATAATATTATGATTGAACTGTCGGGCGGCAGTTTCACTATAACGGCGACCGTATACTATTGAATAATTTACGCGCTATAGGTACCAATAATGATTAACAGTAAATTAAAAATATATTATATTTATATTACTTACCTATTGTGTAATGAAGTCTTGATAGATGTATATCGTATATGTCTTGATTTATAAAAAAATTATATTGTTGAGCTCAATAAAGAATGTACCTACACTAGTACACTACACTGTACAGTGAGAGTGAATGACACACAACAGTCTCCAATTGCAAAAACGCTAATAGAATTATTATCGATTAAATTGTAATGGCACAACATGCTTTGAGACGTTATCGCAATTCAGGGAAAAATTATCTGTATTATTTTTATTGAATATTGTTTTGGAGTTTTATCGATCTACACAATATGTTTGTATATTGTATTTTGAAATTTGTTAAAATCTAAAATAAACGTGAAAAATAAGATATTTGATTTTTTCTTATATGCCGCCTCTATATAGTTATAAATTTTGCCGCCGTAGGCTTGTGCCTACGTCGCCTACGCCTATAACCGGCCCTGATTTTACTATTGGATTAGCAATAGCACTATAATTTTCTATAAATTTCATATAATACCCACTGAGTCTTAAAAAACTTTTTATTTGCTTAACATTTTTAGGTACCGGAAAATTCATTACAGCCTCAACTTTCTTTTTGTCGTGTTTTATCCCTTCGTCGGAAATTACATGCCCTAAGAATAAACACTCCCGCTGTAAAAAACTACATTTATCCGGTTCTATTTTTAGATTATGTATATGTAACCGTTCAAATACATCAATTAATTTTTCATTATGATCTTGTAAGTTTTTCGCGTAAACTATTATATCATCTAAATATACCAGACATTTTATTCCTATTAGACCTGATAATACATTTGTCATCATTTTTTGAAATGTTGCCGGAGCTGAACTTAGCCCCATAACTAATCGTTTAAATTGATTATGACCTTGCCCCGTAGAAAATGCTGTAAGTTCTTTTGAATCTTTTGCTAAACTTACTTGCCAATATCCTGCCTTTAAATCTAATAATGTAAATAATTTGGCATTGACCTGGTTGATCCAAAATTTCCGTTATATTTGGTAACGGGTGAAACTCGTTTAATATTACGTCATTAAGTGCTCTAAAATCTATAACTATTCTGAATTTTTGTTTTCCTGATGCATCCTCTTTCTTTTTAACTAAAATTAGTGGTGCATTAAACGGACTCATTGATCTTTCAATAATTTCGTCTTTCATCATTTGATCTATTTGTTTTTCTATTTCTGGTTGTTGCGAAAATGGTAAACGGTACGGTTTTTTATAAATTGGTTTCAAATCTTTCGGAACTTTTATTACATGTTCGGCCGCTGTCGTACACCGTACACGTAAGTCTATCACCCTCCAAATAAAAAATATCGGAATAATCCTCGCAGATTTTTGTTATTGATTTACGTTCATGAACTTGAAAGTGGTCTGTTCGTATCAACGCCCTCACTTTTTGTTCTCGTTCTATATCACGCGTATGAATGTGGGTGTAATCGCAGTGTGTTACTATGTCATTCTCGTATGATACTAATCGAGTTGTGATGTGAAAAATTCGTTTTGTGGGTCTTGTACTATCTCTTGGACTAACCTCACGCCCACCTGAGGTTGTCCCCTGAAGTTTTTTGAATTATTTTTCTCATTTTTCTGTTTTGTAAAACAGTTCGCAATTTCATGTCCTACCTTATTACAAAAACTGCAATGTACATTTTGTGCGCTATTATTGCCCGTACGATTATTACTATTCCCAATATTACGCGCGCCGTTGCCGCGATTATTATTATAAGTATTTTTTTGTGTATTCGGCCTTCATACTGTTTGCCAGCAATCCCTTGCAAAATGATTAGATTTCCCGCATGTGTAACATCCGGTTCTAGTCTGATTAGTATTATTTCGTTGAAAATTATTATCGTTAAAATTTCGTCCATAACTTCCGCTGCGATTATTCGCGCCTGCACTATAACCGCCGCGATTATTATTGCTATATCTATTGTTATACCCATTAAAATTATTATTTCTACTATTTTGATTTGCGTACCCGTTTCCTCCGCGATTAAACATATTATTTCTATTACTATCATTATGTCGTTTTTCTTCGTTATTACCATTAATTTGTTTTTAATTACTATTTTGTTTTTGTACATTTCCCTGCAACTTTTCCATGTCTAATTTAGAATTAAATTCAAGATCTTCATCTATCGCTAGTTTAAAACATTGTTCTAAAGTTTCTGGATTCCTACTTTTTAGTACTGTGTACAGATGATGTGGTAATCCTGTCATAAATATAATCATAGCCTGCTTTTTTGTCTGGCTTTTAATTACAAGTGCTTCGGCCGGTTTTAATCCCAATGTACTAGCCGCGCATAGTTTATAATATAACTCTTCGATTCTACTAGCGAATTTTGCTACACTCTCTCCCTCGGTCATACGTGCCGTGTTTAAAGCTACTGCCAGGGCCCTCTCCGATACTTTCTGTTCGAATGCCCCCTCTAATATGGATTTTATTGATGCCCAAGAGTCTAAATTTCTATATTTTGTTACTTCTAACTCGTTCCCTGTCAACTTTGACGTTATTATTTTTAATAATAAAGGTCTATCCGCGTCAGCAATATCTTTAAGCGCGATCTCGCAGATATTTATAAATTCCGCTACGTCTTTCTTTCCTGTGCAAATTGGTATCATTGGTATTGCTTTATCAATATCCATTTTATTTTTTGTGTTTTTCCTAACTTCTAATTGCACGTGAACTACGCTTGAGTCTGACCTAGTACCTGAACGACCTACGCCTTGTTTACTTTCTCGTGGCGTGATATCTATCCGTTCTGTTAAACTAAGTGTTCTTACGAAATCTTTCCTAACAGCTTTATCGGCGTTAGCTTTTTGTTTGCCTGTTTTTTCTATAAATTCTTTCTTTATAGCGTCTTTTAAAATTTCCGCTTTTATTTCTCACTTATTTTTAAATTTTTTAACTTTTACTGAACCAGTGGCGGATCCAGGGGGGTGGCGCAGGGGGCGCGCGCCACCCCCTCGGCTTTTATTTAGTTGAAAAATTACATTTTAATTACAATTTAAAAATTGTAAAATGTTTTTATGAAATTATTGTATGTAGCGTAATGACGTACTTTTTAATAAATAATAATAAGACGTATTTTTATATTCCGCATCGCCGGACGGCGGTTCGAGGTTATTTCTAGTTTCTAGTGTTTCTACATGTGTAGTGTTTAGTGTTTACGTATTATTAATATTATCTTGATAAGTATTTGAATTATATCTAAAAATAAATATTCCATTCATATTATTTTCGGGCCACGACGCGTGACGTACGGCACAGTCCCCGTTATCGTAATAATTGAAATAGATATCTATACACATAATATTTCACTATTCATCAGATTAGACAGATTACAATTTAAATTATACAACAACAATATCTGATTTTCTTCGTATTGTGTACAAGTGTACAAAAAATAGTTTCAGTATTGAACTAGCTGTGTTATGTCGTGGTTACCTATATTTATGTTAAATTGTTTCTAAATGGTTATAATAACGGTATAATAATCTTATATAATAAAACGCTAATAACGCGTATAAGATCCGCGGGGAGCGCTCACGGCACTCCGCTTTTCTTCCATGACGACCAATCACAATACTTCCCGCGCTATAAATTCCGCTCGCTTATCTCCCTTTTCCTTATCGATCCTAATATTTTCGAACATTATTATTATTATTAAAAAAAAACCCGTGTTTTTCAATTTTTTGACGTGATAATAACGTCTTATAAATCGATTACCCCGCGACCGTCCCCCCGACCCATTAAACGAGTAATTATTTTTGACCAAGTATAACTTAGCCGGTATTCGACTTAGAGACCCCGTACCAATGGGCATCTCAATTTTTTAGGCCCCAGATGAATTTTCAACATTAGGGAACCAAAGCCCCCACCCCCCCCACATTTTGAGTTGAGTATAACTCGGCCGGAATTCAAGTTAAAGACCTCGGACCAAGGGGGAACCCATTCTTTTTATGAATACTACCGTTTTCCGCTTTAGGGAACGGGGGAACCTCCTCCCCCCCTTTTTGGATTTTGCTTTTTTGATGGATTTTGGTCCGGGAGAGTACTAACACCCACCTCGCCAAGGGGAAACTCGGGGTTTTGAGTTTTTGATAGGATTTATTGGGATTTTCTTGAATATTGTTTTTATTGATAAGGAAAGTGATAAGAATTTTATTTTATCGCCGCGAGCACGGCGACGCGACTTAAGAGTCATACATTTGCCTCGGAATTTCATCTGAGTAGGTGGCTAGGTTGGTTAGGCGTTAGGATAAGTGACTCGAGGGTCGTGGGTTCGAACCTGGCCTCTGGGATTTTCGTTAATTTGCGCCATCCGTGATTATTTGGATGTTACTCTTCGAGTTTTTTTTTTCGTCACATTTTTTTTTTTTTTTGGCAGAAAAATATTAATATACATTAAAGTAGATATTTTAAATTGTAACTAAATTGTATAATGATACTGTACTATTTTA